TAATGTAATTTTATTTTAGACTTTCTATTTATCTTATTATACGTCAAATTGTATTATAAATTATAGTTAAACAAATAGTCTGTCCATAAGGGGGAGGCTTTAAACGATTTTAAATTGATTTAATATTGTTAACAATTATGATTCATACAATTAATTTTATTTTTTTTTGTTTAATTTTTGACTATAAGTTATTTACTTAGTGTTAGGTTATCCTTAAAGTTGTTATAATAGTTATTTGATTTTTGTTAAAATAAATTACGAGTTTTGCTAAATATTTTTTGGATATATTTTTGTTATAATCAAATTGACAATTGTCTGTGTCGTCAATACTTTGATTACAATTGATTTAATAAATATTATTTAAATTATTAGTTTTTATCATAATTATTAAATACTATAAAAATTAATACTAATATATTAGAATTTATGGAATTTGTTTGAGTTTTAAAAACTTGTTATTTGTAAAACTTATTTCATGTGATCAAATTTTTTTTGTGCATATTTTATCAATAAAAATGTTTAAAAAAAATACACTACAAATTAATAATTAGTAGTGTATTTTTTTTTAATACTTTTTGGTCGATTGTATTAATATTAGAAATAAATTTTAAAAACTTTCCATTTTGTGCTAAAATTAATTTTATAATTAAAATATCATAAAACTTTATTTTTAGCAACTAAAAATTTTAAATATATCAAGATTATTATCAAAATCCTTGATATTATTGTATTATTGATATTAGTGTAAATTATTATTTTTTTTTAAATTTATTAAAATCAAAAATTATTTTTATTTTTACATTTTTATTGGCAAAATATGTAAATAGTTTTAAAAAATTTTAAGAAAATATTTTGTTTTAAACTCAAACATAATGTATAAAATTTTATACTATAAATACTAATATTATTAATAAATTTTCAATTAGATTTTTAACTATTATAAGTATTTAGTCAAATTGTTTCTTATTTTATAGTATATGATTTAATAATTATGAATATAAATAAAGTTGAGCAAGTTAAAATTAATAATAAACTATTAGTAATTTTACTAATATTTGGCAATATTTTAGTATTCAATATTGTCAATAGTTATAATACTAATAATATTCATAATGATTATAGTAATTGTAATAAAAGTATTGATGACACAGACAATTGTCAATTAAATTATAATAAAAATCTAATAAAAAGTTCAGCAAATTTGTCAAAAATATATCGCAAAACTCGTCAATTGTTTACAAATAATCAAATAATTAATAATTTTATGGATAATAAAACTTCAATTAAACAACTTATTGTCAAAAGTCAACAAAAATTTTTGAAATTTACTAATTTTTATGATAAAATTGTTGATAATATTAAGCCAATTGAAAATCGATTGAAACAAACATTTGTTGAATTTTTATTATCACTCAATATATCTGAACAATGTTTTCAATCAGTAATACATGTGACACAAGCTATGAAATCAAGACAACTGTGGGCTTATAAATGTATGTCAAAAAAAACTATTTAACTAAATATGTATTTATATTAAAACTAATTGTAAAATTTATTTTTAATTTTAATAATTTAAATTTATAGTTTTGGATGCATCTGGAAAACTGCCCGCAGCTATACTGGAAGGTGTGTTAACCAGTTTTGGTGATTATGACCAGTGTTTGGCCATTAAAAGTAGTCAAATAATTAGTACTAATGATGTTAATAATAATACCCACCAAAACATTTATGGCCGGTATTGTCTAATCAGACCATACGTACAAATCAATGATTTTCGTATCATTGAAGATATCGCCAAAAACTATTTGCTAACTAATAATGAAAATTATTTCAATCTAACCAAACAAGACATTGAAAAACACTTGAATACACTAAAAGTTTTGATTACAATCAATACATTAACGACAAATGTTTATCTATTTAACTATGGCTTATGTATACCATCGCAATGTGATAAACATGATGTTGAATCTGTACTAAACAAATGTAATATTTTTTAGTATTTAGTATAAATTATTATTAATAATATATTATATTTTTTTTATAAATTAGTAATAAATCCTATAATAAACTTGCCAATAGAAATCGGACCAAACAAATGTGATACCATTACAGATACTATTGAATTAAATCAATTTCAATTAGTTATTTTGTAAGTAAAATCAATTATAAACTATTAAGAAAAATTATTATTTATTTATCTCATATTGATTATCAGTTTTATAGTAATAATCATATTATCACTAGTAATCGTATCTACGATAATACATATTATCTATGATATTAGGTTATATAATGATAATATAACAACAATACATCAGCCCATACCTAATAATCTATCAAAATATTCAAAAACAAGTCTAGAATCCATAATCAAATCATTTTCAATGATAACATCTATTAAACGATTGATTAGTCCATTGGGCGATCGTTTGCTAGTTATAGACCTATTGATAATATTTTATATGTTTTGGTCGATTGTGATTCTGGTCTATGGCATAATACCCTGTTCAGGGTTTGTTGGGTATAAAAATATAAACAATAGTTTTGTAATTAATGTTATCAAAGATATCAAATATTTTTGGTTACGTGTATTATTTCATCGTGATATGGCCATATTATTTAGGTATCAAAATTGTTATTATTATTATTTTTTTGATATAAAATTAAAAGTATAAAAATTATTTTTTTTTACAATTTTTCAAGTGCTGTCATCATATCGTACGACTATTTTGGTAAACATCAGTCAATACCTCTAACTGTTTGGCAATACCTAAAATTTGTTGCGGAAAAATGGTTACGATTTATGCCGAAAATATTGGCTCCGATTATTGTCATAACAATAATGTCGATTATAGGCAATGGACCGGGATGGCATATTGGTCGGGTACAATTTGTCGATGCCTGTTCACAAACATATTGGCACAGCCTATTGTTTATGACATTTTTAAACAATGATCCTAAACTTGTTGTAAATTAAATCATTATGATTTGCAATAGTTAGATATTAAAACGATTAAATTATAATAATATTTTTTAAATATTATATATTTACAATAGTGTAATCAAATGGCCTGGGCAATATCAATAATATTTGATTTGCAACTATTGTCACCAATATTTATGTTACCGTTTAAGAGGTCAGCAAAATTTGGTTACATTTTCAATACACTGGCACTGATACCGGCATTTTTGGCCAACATATTACCAAATGTATTGTTTGGCATAAAACTGATACCCTATGAAACAGCCGATAGCTATCTACTCAATGAAATGCGTTATTCAGTAATCAGATTGTTTATATATCCCGATCAATATTTATCTCTATATATTATCGGTATTATGTTAGGCTATAGTTTAAGAAATTTACAACAATACCGATTCCTGCAATCAATTTACCGAAACATATATCTAAGATCATTGTCGGCAACGGTTTGTTTGTCGACTTCTCTATTGGCTATCGTTTGGAGTGAAAACTTTAAAGATATTAATGTAATACAAAATAAAGTCAATCTATATCTATGGTATGTCTTCGGCAAAATTTTGTGGTCAATCGGTAACATTTGGATTATAATTGATCAACATCTTCACAAAAATGGTTATTTATTAGATATTTATTTTCTAAAACTTTTTATTATTTATTATAAAAAAATGTTTTATATCCTAATTATTTGTATGATTAGGTTATCTCATGAGTTCATTGTCGTCGTCCAAACTGTTCAGAGCTGTGACCCGATTATCAATAGGTGTGCTATTGATTAGTACAAGTGTTATATATTTTAGACAATTTGTCAAAAGAGAAACCATTGATATCAGTCACTTAATACAAGTAATGTTTATATAGTTTTTAACTTAAATTAAGTCATTTATATTATATTTTTAAATTTTTTACAATTTACAGATACAATTCATAGCAATGGATCTGATAGTTATGTTAATTATTTCATTTATAATGTATTTGTTTATTGAGTGTCCTATTATTAATTTGTTGCAATTAGTCAAACAAAATAAAATACTTAATATTAATAATAATAATAATAAAAGAAACGCAATTGAATTAAAATATGTTTTTTAATAATTAATGTAATAATTGCTAATATTATTATTATATTTAATATTCAGTAATTATAAATTAATCTTGTAATTGTATATTAAATGCATTAATTTATAATAAATCATATCAAACTTATAGTTATCAATATGAAAATATCAATACTAATTATTTAATTAATTAATTAAATATTTAATTGTATTGTTTTATTAATTTTTTACTACTACTACTACAAGTAGTAGTAGTCCAACAAAGATCTAGTTTTAATTAAAATTATTTTTTTACTCTTTAAGTGATTATCGAAACACTATAGTGTTATACATATCAACTAAATAATTGTTGTTAATATGTTAAGTGATCTAAAAGTAAATATAAAATTTATAATTTTATTATTCAGGTAATCAATTGACATCAAACTTTAATTAAAAAACTTTAATATTTTTACTTATAATGTATTACTAATAACCTTAACTATTATTATTATTTTTAATTAAGTTTATCTTTTTTTGTGAATATCTTTTTTTATGTGAATAATTTATTTTTTTTAAAAATTTTCTAATAATGATATTAAATCTAGAATTATTAATTAATTGTTATTTTAATTAACTTTATTAATTTACTGTACATATAGTTTACAATAATAATTATTATAAAAATTATAGTTAACGTAATTGATTAGCAACTTAGGTATTATTGTGCGGGCATTTCAATTGCACTATAAGTAATACAATCATACATTAGGTTTACAGTAGTACTATCAATGTTATTTAGGTGTATTGCAGTAAAAGCAATAGCGCACAATATATTTAGTATTTACAATATATATAGTTTTATAGTATATATTACTGACAATGTTATACTAAAAAAAATATGTGGTCTATGTTCGCGATACTTGATTAATACAATACAACAACAATATTATTATTATTATTAATAAAATATTATAGTATTAAAAGTGATGTAAACAAGTGGTTAATACCACATAAAAAACATTGCATTTATAGCTATTGACTGATTGATTGACTATACATATCAATTGGTGGTCAGTCAACCCGAAATCAACGGTTAATCAAAAATCCCATTGGTCTGGACAACAACTAACCCCTCGCCCCCGATCCTTGACCTGACCAGCGGGACAGCGCGGCAGAGCCAGACATGGATCTGATTACCGGCGAACTTAACCGATACAAATCGTTGGCCACAAAATACGAACAGGACTGTCAACTGATGCATACGGAGGTCAACCTATTGGACAAACTGGTTGTCGTACAGCAAAAGTGTCAGCAATATGTCGATCAAGTGGTCAGAGAGTACGACTCGTTTGTGGCCAAACATTGGCGTCTGTTGGGCAATCATCGGGAAGCCAATCGCGAGTGGACACGATTGATGACCAATAAGTTGGAAACGGAAAACAATCAGTTACGGGTTGAACAGTTGCGTAACGAATTGGTCATCTGGCGTAAGGCCAACAACCGATTCGGTACGTATATTGATTGACTTTTGGTTATGTTTTTTACCGACTTATTGTTTGTTATTTTATGTTGCAATTACCAGCCGATGATAGCCGAAAATCTGATCACTCATACAGTACGACAACTACGACGACCACCGAAACAAGTAATACAAGAACTACTGGTTCCGTAGTAGTAATGTTGGACAACAACAACATTACCTGTAGTAGTAGTGATCAGACAGAAAAGGAGGACACAGTTATTACACCATTGCTTGACTTAACCGATGATAATGATTGGCTGTCCAGTCAACCGATGACAACGACTACGACCACAACTGCCAGTAATAGTAAACAATCGGTTAACAAATCGGCGGCGACAACGACAACAAAATCAACATATAAACCAACGATCATTACAATACGTAAAATGGCGCCAAAGCCACCACTTTTGCCGCCTCCACCACCGCCGACTATTTCTGTCCAGTTAGAGGTTATACCGAAATCAGAACCAGGGTTTGACGCTGAAGAGACTGATACGGCATCGGAAACTGGTAGCCTATCGGTGGTTACGCCAATCAAGAGTACAGCAACAAACAACACCGATAACAATAATAGCAACAATAATGGATCGTTTATGTTGTTCAGCGAATATTTGTCCCGTAGTAAAGGTCTCAGCCATTTGGTCAACAAAAATAGCGAAACAACAACAACGATGGCGGCGTCAACTTCAGCCGCTGATTCCGATCAATTGGACATTAAACCAATGGTTAACCATACGGTTAATATTGATCTCAATTCTGATTCCGATGAAACTCGGTTTGATGTCAAAGCTGGTGATGGCGATGATGATTATGATCCAGATTTCGATGGTGGCAATGATGATAATGATTCCGACTTTGGTGTGGATCCCGATGACAGTATATTTAGTGATGATATTATTGATTTGACACCACATAAGAAAAATGTCAAAAAGAGTGAGTTTTTTTAATTATAAATATATTTATTGATAGAAACTATTTGCTAATTGTTTATTAATTATTTTCGTTTTATTAATAGCTACTAAAAAGTCAAGGAAAAAATTGAGGAAATCTTCTAATAATAATACTAAATCTGTGTCCAGCAATAGTACAGCCAGTAGTAGTACCAGTACTAGAGCGCAGTCATCAGCTGATAAACAGACAACCGGAGCCGTCAATAACACACTAGCAATACCACGGAATACCAATCGTAACGAAAAGAAAATATTTAACGAAAATTTTGTCAAAAATCATACAAAACTTGTTTTCAAAGGTATTTTTGTTGTTGTTGTTTAAGAAATACCATTGTATTTACATTGTATACCATTGTAAAAAAAATATTGTTTCCCTAATTAGGAGGTGTCTATAATTGTCGATGGAAAAAGTGTGGCTACAGTTCCCCACTGCGCACTAACGCTATACGTCACGTCCTGACCCATACTGGCCAAAAGCCATTCAAATGTCAACTGTGTCCGCAATCGTTTATCGACAATCGCCAATTGCGCCGACATTTAATCGTACATAATGTTACGATAATGAAAGATTACGTATCGGGCAGTAGTAGCGGCGTTCGCCGCGAACGAGGAACAGGAGATATTATATGTCCGGAGTGCGACAAAAGGTTTTGCGACCCGTGGAATCTGACCAGACATTTGCGCAATATTCACGGCCAGAAAAAGTTGGGCCAATATCGACAGGAGTACCGCAAACAAAAGTTGCTATTGTTTGGCAAATCGTCGCCAACCAAACAACAACAACAATCGCCAGCATCGGTGGGTGCATTGAACACCGGTAGTATTGGTGGCAGTAGTCTAGACAATCTGGTGTGTCCAGAGTGTGGAAAGTCCTATTTACGGGAGAATCTACTCTATCAACATATAGTGAAATTGCACGGCACTGTCAAGGCTCGCATATTTCAGCAAAGTCTTCGACTACAATTGAGATACGATAGCAAAGAGAGCGGTAATAATAGATCCGGTGGTAGTGGTGGTGTCAAAGCTGTGATAACACCGAAAAAATCGTTGAATCGCTCAAAATTAAAGCTCAAAGCAAAACGAGGACAACTGTCTTCACGAAAGTTGGCCACAAAACAATGGAAATGTGATTACTATCGCTGTCAGCGTAGCTATAATATGAAGTCAAATCTGAAGAGACATCAGATGGAAATACATAAAAAACTATCGAAACCATTGTTTTTCAATACTTGTCGTACGGAAACATTGCTCAAGTATTTTATACCAAAAAAGACCACTACAACTGCCGATGATAGTGATGACAATGATGACGATGATACCAACAATGCCACCGATGTTGTTGACAATAATACCAGTGCCATAATTGACAACAAAAAGGGAGGTCAAAGTGCTGCCGATGATGATAACAAACTGTTTGTTTGTCATTATAAGGGCTGTACGAATAGCTATCATTCAATATCTGGGTTATATAGACACAGACGGATCAAACACAATGTGACTACAAAAGCTAGTGCTATCAAACAGATGAATGGACTGACCAATACAAGTGCCGGTAGTGTCTCAACAACAACAAAGTCAAACAAACTATTTGTTAAGTGTATGTATTTATGATTAGTATTATTATTATTATTGTCGTATATTTATTGTAACATTTTATCACTAATTTTCTTCATGTAGATAAGGGAGCACTCAATAGAAAGGTTAGCAAACCTACTGATAAGTCTACTGATGATAGCGTTGGTCAACAATATCGTTGTCGAGTCGGCGACTGTCAGTTCCAATCCGGCGGTCGGCGACCATTGGTTGCCCATTTTAAGACACACTTTCCCGATGATGACAAACCATTTAAGTGTCTTATCGATGGCTGTACTATCGTCTACCGTAAGCTCACACAACTGCATGAACACATACTTAACAAGCACTCGGAGCAACAGTTTTTCAAGGCCATGGAAGCGGCCAACATGTATTACCCGTCATGGTATTGACATATTTCCACCCACCCTCATCTCCCATTCCCTCATTTTTATTTAATAGGCACCCCATTCCTCAAATTTTTAAAGTACCATTAGTTTATCTCTCAATCACTATGCATGTGTTCAATCATGTTTTAAAAATATACTGTATTTTTATTATACAGTATAATGAAATATAATTTTGTTTAGCTATAATTTGTGATCAAAAATTTGTTATTTTTAATCTTATCTGACTATTAAACCTATAAAATGTTTACACATACAGTATATATATAATGTAGCTTTTTTTATTAAACAATTACCGTAATGTATTTAATGTTGAATTAAAAATGATATGTTTTTTTGCATGTAGTTTTATTAGTATAACAAAAAAAAATATCATTTAAATCATTAATCATTATATTTTTTTAATTAATTAAAAATATACATTATTTTATTTGCAATTTACGTTAAATATATATATTAACTCTAATATGTTTTTTTAAATATTAAAAATTAAATAAAAATTTTAAATAATTTGATTATCATCTTAGTTGTTAATTTATTTCAACTATAAAATATTTTAGTATATTATAAGATATAATTTGTGTACTAAAATATTTTTTATCATTATTGATATAATTAGTGATAATAATTTGAAAATCTAAACAAAAAGTTAAGTAAATGATTGAATACTAAGAGGAAAATATTGTTTTTAAAAAAAATTAAATCCTTTTAAAAATTAATGATTATCAAACATTTGACATCAATTTATTATGTAATCCTTTAATTAAAAAAAATATATACTGTTTATTATACACTAATATTTAGGATAAAACATATTTTCAGAGTTTATTATTACATATTATTATTATTATTACAAAACATTTAGCATTATGTCGATAAAATAAAACACATAATAAATTATTAAATAGTTCACATATTTATTAATATTTATATACTATTGTATAGACTATATCTAAAATAAATGACAAATAATGTCACATAATTGTTACATTGTTGTAAAAAATATACGGTATAATGATTTTGATTAATCATTTATAATATTTTTTAAAAATAATAATTTTTTGGTAAACAGATTAAATTGTTTTATTTATTTATCAAAAAAAATTTATTCCATATATTGATATATATATATTTAAATCAAATATTCATGTATATAAATGCGATATTAAAACTCATTTATTAAATATAAAATCTAGATAATTAAAAATGAACACAATATTTTTTTTGTTAATTTATATTAAAAAAATTAAATCAAAAACACAATTTTGTATTTATATCTCATAGTGTATGTAAAATAGATCATTGAAACACATGTAAAATATTTTAGTATAAACTATAGTTAAGGGTATATATATAATATTCAATAGTTGTGTGTATATGAGAATTATAATATAAGGGGTAATACAGTATAATAATAATAATACTACCGGTAATTAAAAAAATCTAAACTAAACAAAATTCAAGGCTTATGTACGTTACGACTACCGGTAATATCATAGTATAGATCATTAATAGGTTTCAATTTTTCCCGCTCCATAACCCCCTATCCCGTAAATATGGCAGTAGTTTACAGTTTCAATAATAATAGTAATACCAACAAAAAAATAAAACAGTAATTACCGGTAATTAATTAATTAGGGCTTTTCTCTGATATAGACAGAGTTGGAAGAGTATACAGTAGTTTTCAATGGACAGTAGATAAAGTAGTTATCAATAAAATATAAAAAAATTATTATTACAAAAAAACTGGAGTTTTAATCGCCATCTCTCTCTCTCTCTGTATGTCTGTCTGTATGTCTCTACTCTTTGCCATTGTTTCCCCGAAGTGTTTCCTTATCGAACATATACTCTCCGAGTCCCGAACCCACGCGCTTCAAGTTAGTAATATAATCACTGAATTGTTTGATTGAGTCGACCTGTTCGCCGAGGAATTCACTTTCTAAGAAGTCGCACATCTATTAGGTTTTTTTTGAGGGGGGCGGAGGGGTTGACACATGAAAAAAAACCAGATTCACATTATAGATATATATATATTTAAAAAAAATAATTCAATATTTGCCCGGTTCCCAGTAAACTACATACATGAGCGTCTCCATGGGCGCCGGCCATACGGTGCAAGTCCAACAACGATTGGTTGACTGTTTTCTCCAGCTGTAGGGCCGCCTGCATGGCATCGATACCGCTGCCCCAGTCGTCCAAACTAGGCTTATGTATATCCTTGAGTACAATACGACCGCCCCGTTTGTTCTGGTATTTCATAAACTTCATGGCGTGGCCTCTCTCTTCGTCCGATTGGGTTTCAAAAAACTTATGAAACCCGGGCAGTGCCACATCGTCCCGATCGAAATAGTAGGCCATCGACAGATAGGTATAGGAGGCGTGCAATTCAAGATTCAATTGCTTGTTGATGGCCGCCTCAACTTCGGCGTGAAAATTTTGTCGCGGCTGTGAACTGGCCATTATTATTGTATGCTTCTCGGGGGGTGTCGGGTGTGTGTATGTGTACTGGTGGACGCTTGTGGTGCTAGTGGCCAGGTAGTTGTAGTAGTTTTTTTTATATATATAATAAAAATTTTAGTTTTGGTGTGATTAGCTAGCCTATTATTAATATTTTTTTTAAAACTCACCTATCGGGTATTAATTATTATAATATTATGGTGTTAATACTGATTAAACAATTTATAAAAATCAATAATTTTATAATTTAAATATATATATATTTAAATATTTAATAGTCAAATGAAAAATTTACTAATTTTTTTTATTTGCGTTAATAAGTACTGTAGTATTCACTGTTCACAATAGCTAGTAATGTGATAGTAATGTACTGTATATTTGCAATGCAATTGAATGGCTATAATGGCCTTTAAATTTTTCCATTAAATTATTTTTTTTTTCTCTCTCTCTCTCTCTCTATGATAAAATTTGTTTTGATTCCTAATATAAATTACGTAGATCATAATAATAATGTATAAAATGTATAATAATGTAAATGTAACATAATAATGTATAAAATTTTTACTGTATAATAAATTTGTTACTAAATAAAATTATTTTTGTTTAGGAAAATTTTTTTAACTTCAAAAATTGACATATGTAAAAATTCAAAAAAAAAAAAAAAATAAATAAAAATTACCTATTAGCTAATATACAACTATTTTTGTTGAGCAATTAAGTATTGGAAAATTTTTTATTTTAAAATTTATGTTTAATCATCAATAAATTTTTCATTCAATTTTTTAAAAAAATATAATTTGTTTACATTAGTTTACATATACATTAATTATTGTAGAATTTTAAGTTTTTATTAATATAAAAATAATAATAATAATAATTAATTTTTCATACACATGCACTAAAAACTTTATAATTTATTATTAATAAGTTGTATAAAAATGCATATAAATTAAGCTATAGATTTAAAGTAGATAAATATTTTTTTTTAAATGTATATAAATATATTTTTAAAATTAATAACTTTATTTTATTTTTTTTGGATTGATTTTTACTTTTACTAGTCTAGTATCTTTTTTAAGTATTAATTTTTTTTATAGATCAAAAATTGTGTACACAATTACGTAGCTAAAATTGATAAATATACATATATAGAAAACTACCAAGGTCAAACATACTATAGACTTATAAGTTAGTATTAATTTGTGAGATAAAATAGCTCGTGATTTGAAATACTGTTTTTTTTATAAATGTTTTGCTATTTTTTTTTGTTAATATATTTAACTAATGAGTCCACACTTTAGATACAAATTATTGGTCTATTAATTGAAAAAAATATAATAATTAACAGATAAAGTTTAATTTTGAAACAATTATTAAATTATTTAGTAGTCTTCTAATAGCCATAAGTTGTGTGACTTAAAAAATAAAATCATATCTCTCAATCACATTCACACAGTCAATGCTAGCAATAATTGTTATGCAAGTCTAATACTAATCAAGCATAAATTATAAGTTTAAAATTTATATAACACACTAACTATTGATTATTTTAATAACATTTCAATACAGTTAATATGATAATTGCAATTAAGTAATTTATCATTTTTAAAAAACTAAATCATCAAATTGTAAAAATAGTTATTAAATCAAAATACATAGATATAATAAAAATTTCGATGAGGCATATGTACTATGATATATTTAACAAATTGTACAGTAATTTTTATATATATATATTTATATTATTGCAGTATTTTATTTAACAATTTACTGTATCTAATAGGTTTAATAGACTGTATCTACGATATTGTCTATGAATTTATATTACATATTTTAGAGATGATTCGACAGGAAATACTGTATAATAATAATATTGTTATTATTATAATAATAATAATCAATTATAAAGTATTGAATTTCATAAAACTTTAACACACACACACACACACACACACACACACACACACACACACACCATTATCAATAGTATAAAAATAAATTAAATAACTTTATTAAAAAATAAATACTTCTAATATATATATGATAATAATAATAATTTTTAATAATTATTATTTGTATCCTAAAATACTAAAGTATTTATTAATATCAGTATTTTAATGTTAAATTAAATAAAATAAAATTTTATTATATATTTAATTTCTTTTAAAAAATAAATTCTGTAGCATTGACTAGACTTGTTTCTACTAAATATATGATTTGTAAATAATTTTCTAAATTTAATAGTAGTATTAATAGTTTTTAAAATTTTAAGTTCACGTAATTTATTTACCATAAATGTTATGTATGAATGTAAACACATTACTATTATATTATTATTATTATTATTATTGCCAAACATTGTGTGGCAAAAACACTATACACAACACACACACACATACACTGTATATATATGTATAACAGTATAACACATATAGAGTAGTGTTTATGTGTTAGCCGTGAATATCATATCATATATCTCTTGCGTGTGAAACAAAATATAGCGGCCATCGGGTCCGCGGCCACACACACACAATGTCCACCAATTCATATAAAGTCTCAGCCGCTTCAGCCGCCGCTGCCGGTCACCGAATCGCTGGCTTCAATCGTCTAATACTTTGGTATCTATTGATCATAATTCACGCCTCAAAAGCGGCCACACATTGGGTGGTCACCGAAGACGGCAAACTACAGACACAGGTATTGTTGTTGTTGTTGTTGTCCACTCCCGACTTGCATCACCTCATCGTTCACTAATTCAATTGGTCATTAATTATGTGTTTGTCCCGATATATGATATATGTTTGTGTGTCCATCAAAATACATCACACGACCACCCGATCCGATGAATCTTTTTTTTTAAAGGACGATTCGGTCTATCAATTGCGTCGACCGTACGATTTGATGTCACTTTTGCATCAGGAAAGACGGGCCGATATGTTGGCCACTATTAAGAACCAATTGATTGCCCAGAAAGAAGAGATCGAGTCGGACACCAATACAAGTAGCGGTAAATTATTATTATTATTATTACCGTAAGGTTTGGATATCATAGACTCTCTCTCTCTCTCTCTCTCTCTCTCTCTCTCTAAAACCAATCGGGGTTTTTATCTTATCAATTGTTTTACGGGTCAGTCCCGCGCGGGACTGAAAATGTTGATATTGTTTTCGTGTTATTTATTGTTACCGTAATATAATTTCTATACCCGTATTTGGTTACCCCCCGTAAATTGTTAACAATTATTAATTAATTAATTAACTATATATATATATATATATATATATATATGACTTAGATTGCTTATTATAACATTATACTACATGTACACTACTTTATATATTTTTAAATTTTTTTTTTTTAGTTGAACATCCACTCTAATTAATTTTATACAATTATTATTGTGATATTTTAGTAAATTGATTGATTAAAAATTAGTTAGGTTAGATATTTTATGATTTAATAAGTATAGTTATAATAGTTATAAATTATTATTATCACTGAACTATTGAAAAATATGTGATGATGATAATGATCACACTCTACTGTATCTAATTAATTAATTAATCAATCAAAACAAAATTGTTATTTTAGCCAAAATATTTTATCTATCATTTTTTCCTAAAATTATAATTTTAGTTTTTTTAAAAAAAATAATATAATCAAACGTAACACATTTGTAGTATTTTTTTTGTTGTTGTTAATGTTAATATAATTTTTCATTTATATATATATTTAAACTAAATTATACTACATATATATATATATATATTTAATCATAAACCATGATTATTATAATATCAAGATCTACTTAGACTTACAATAATTGTATATAAAAATTTACTATCAATTAGACTCCTGTTTTAAATAGATTTGTTTGCATTTTTATCAGTTTTTTTAAAAAATCTCATATTATAGTTAATATAGGTTATAATAGTAATAATAAATTATTATGATAGTAGTTATATTATTTTATTTACTAAATTTTATTGACATTATAGTAGGCGTAGAAATTATTTTTTAAAAAGATATTATAATATATATAAATTTTTTTATAGCAATTTCATGATTGTTTTTTTATTATTTTAGTTTTATTCATACATTGTTAGTAATTAATATTTTTTTTTAATAGAGACATAGAAAAGTTATTTCATGATTTTATAATATAATATTATTTATTATTATTACAATTTTATTTATATATTGTATAAAAATTTGCTTTAATGTGTACATAACTAGTAGTTTTTAAAAATATTTTTGTTTTATTGAAAGATCATGATTTTTTGAAATTTATATTAACATACAATAATATTGTTATAAATCATTGAAAATAATAATAATAATATCAATTTAATGTTTAATTTTTTAGCAACCAATTAACTGGAAATGTTTTGATTATATCAAAAAATATTTATAAAAAAATACAAACAATTAATGCATATAATAAATTTAATGAACACCTGATATAAATAGAAATTATTTTATTGCATATATTAATGACTTTTATTAATAATAATAATTATTATTATTATTAAAATTTCTAATTATCTACTAATTAATGTTTTCTTAATTATCAAATTATTTTTATAATTTTTTTCATCCAAATTAATATTAATTTCTAATTTTGTTTTTTTGTCTGTAAATATCTGTCCAACAGATGATACCGAGGATGATGTGGAACAGTTGGTCTACTCGACCAATACTAACTGTGCCGAAGCTGGCAAACCTCTAACACAGTTTGATCTCTATATCGGTTCAATGCTTTTTTACGTACCCAACGATGATAATGTAGTCAACTATTATAATCTGAATAAATATAATAATAATAATAATATTAACGTCAATAATAATAATAACAATAATAAAAATAATAATAATAATAATAATAATAATAATTATCAAAATAATAATAATAATATTAACGGCGATTCAGTCGATAAGAAAAAGTAATTACATAACAAAATTATTATTTAATTTTATTTATGTTTATTAATATTTATTTTTTTTGTTATTAACTTTATTATAGTGAAAATAATTTTGTCCGTATAGTGGCCGTCGATTCGCGGCCCGAAAAACATGAGCCCAACTGTAGTCAAATAATGCCAATGGATTTTAGTATGTCATCATTTGAACATTTGCCGGTATGTGCTGCGCCTACCTGTGCTTTATCATTGATAATTTGTTGATTTTTTCGTTGATACTCAATAATAATAATAATGTGAACAGCAATGTTTTAATTGAAAATTTTAAAAAAATATATATATTTTCAGTCTATACGGGACAGGAAGTCATTGGTTATTGAGCCTGAGTATGATATTCATACAACTATTACCAATTTGGATGATATTGAAGATTATGGCGACGCTGTCTATGAAGCACTTAAACAGGTAATTATGATAAGCATATACGTTATTAACGGTATATTTGTTTTACGGTAATTGTAGTTTTGTTTGTTTTGTGTGTGTGTGTAGATAATGGTATTTACTAAAATCATGACATAAATGATTGATTAATATATATATATATATATATATAAAGTACCGTAATTTACCACAAATTTTATTATGTAAACAGTTTAACGTAGTCTACCTATACTATAATTTATAATAGAAAATATATATATATATATATAATATTTATATATATACCGTAAGTATTAATCTATAAATCATAATTAATATATCGTAGATATTATTGTTTACAAACTGATATTACCGTAAATATTACGGTAATATATAATAGCATATAAAAGTCAATATTTTGCTAAAATTAAGTTTCATTGTCATAAAAAATAAGTTCAAGTGTTATATTATTTGCTATTATTTTTTCTATTATTATTTTAAATATTAATAATAAAACATTTTATCTTTTTAATTATATATTAATTTTAATTTAATTATTTACCGACACATCCTATTTCCCATAGAACACAAGCTCATGGCTATTATATACGATGGCCTCTTTCTATTGGCGGGCCGTCGGCAATGCGGCCGAGTCTGTCGATTGTTTGAGACGGGCAATACATTTGACGCCCTATCAGTACCGACACATACCGTTGGTATCGTTAGGCAATGTTTTGCATCGAAGCAAAAGTTCCGAAGAGGCGGCCATTGTTATACACGCAGCCATTGATGTGGCACCCGATACCACAATATCGCACTATACACTCGGCAATATATACGCCGTAATGGCCGACTATAACAAGTCGATCATCTGTTTCGATAATGTTCTCAAATTGGATCCGGACTTCGAAGAGGCCAAACTCCGCAAATATGCCGTCCTTTGCCATAATAAAGTGGAAAAGGCATTGAAAGCCCAACACGAGTTAGTTTTCATTCAATTAAATCAATAGTATTATTATTATCGAACTGTCCTATCAGTAAACAAATTGACTTTCTTTTTATTTTATTTTTCTTGAAACTATAGTACTCTTCAAAAAACATTGGAAGAGCTACAGGGCTATCAAAAACAACAGGAACTTTGGCTACAATATCAGCAAAAGTTATTATCGGAACAGGCACCGCCCGGCACTATACTGGAACAGAGATTACACTATCGGGAATATAAGATCAGGGAGATTATAGACCAATCTAATAGGGGAGTAATCGGTAATAATAAAAACGGCGCCGGCGGACAAGTATTGCACGCCAACGGTGGTAGTGGCGGCGGCGGTAGTGGTGCCAGTATTACTGGTAACAGTGTCGCAGCGTCGGTCAACTCGAACTCGTTAGCTGAGAGCGCGGCCGCAGCGGCTGCCGCTTGTCTGACAGTCGAATCGTCTACCGGCGCCCAAAAAGGTAATACAGCCGACTGTCATATGGTTCCCATACTTATACCGATAACTTTTGTGCCGCCCTCTTGATATATAGTCTATTATGATACACACACACACATACAGTCGAGTAATGTCCCTGTAATCAACATATACCCCAAATAACTTATTATTATTATTATTGATAATTATTAACTTAACTAATTATAATTATTATTACTATTGATACTAAATGGGTATATGTATTACTTGAGATGTTATTTCATATAAATATTTGTCGAAAAATATATATAATAATAATGTTTTTATTGATGTTTTTTTTCTTCTCATTCAAAATCATATTAGTGTCGGACTTATATATATATATATATATATATATTGTTATTATTTAAATTTGTTTATTATTATTGCTAACAATTTTGTTGTTTAACTTCATTTGTTTCTAATGTTATTATTATTATTATATTTGTTTTTCTTTCTTTTTTTCTTTTTGTTTTTTTCTCTGTAGAGTATTGTCGTCAATGGGATATTGAGATCTAATTGCAAAGTCTATACAATATATACAATATCTATCTTTATATGTAATTACTTTTATTTTCATCTAGTGTTATGTTAACAAATAATTGCAATTAATAATTTAAGTTATTATATTTTTTAAAAATAGTAATTAAAAAGCACACAAAATTTTGATTTTTATAGTAATATATATATTCTATATATATATATATATATATATATATATATATATATATATATATATTAAATAATAAGAAAATTTTGTTTACTTAATTTTATGACAAAATTAGTTTCAATGATTAAATAATAATTAGATTTTTTTTTCAATATTAATATTTAAAAATTATTATCTTAAATTTAATTATTACTATATTATTACAGTACTATTATTTATTAATAATTGGATTAATAATTTGTTTGTATGTGTGCTAATTTTTGTTGTTAATAACTATAATAATTATCAAAAAAAAAAATTGATACTTTAATTAATTGCAAACTTTGCATTTTTTTTGTCAATGAATATAATACTCTACACATATATATAAAAAACTAGTTATTAAAAATTGTTTTGTTGTTTGTTTAATTAACTTTATAATTATGAATAATATTAATTAAGTTGTTTAAAAACCTACAGTTATTGACTACTTATTACCAGTTATTTAAAAGTATCGAAATAATAATAATAATAATTACTAAAATTTTATTTATATTTTGTTTTTAGATTTTAATTGATTTTTTATCCATAGAATTATATGTATATTTCTGACACTAATATTACTAAAAAAACAAAAAATCAAGAAATTGTTTTTAAAACATATATAATATATATACTGTAATTGAAAAAAATTGTTTGCAAAAAATAAGCTATTGGGTATTAAAACTAATTAAATAATTTATAGTTTTACTTAACATTTAACTGCTTTTTATTTCAAAATTAATGACAAAATTTAGTAAATATTAGTAAAAAAAATAACTCTTTAATAATTAATAATATATTTGCATTTATTTTATTAATATTTTTTAAAAATGTTTGACGAAATGTTTTTTAAAAAAATTTTATTATTATATATTTTAATAATATATTTCAACAGTTTTTTTTTCAATGAATTATTTCAATTTAATTTCTTATATAACTTTTTTAAATTATCTGTTAATTACAAAATAAAATGATAAATACCTAAAAACATTTTTGTAAACAAATTTTTTCATTAAAAAACTATTTTTATCCAAACTACACATACATATCTGTTTAACTAAAAAAATAATAATAAATAAAACAAGTGTTTAATTAATATTTAATTTTGATTTAATAATAATAATATTTTAATCACTACAGAGAAATGATCACATTTTTTGTTAAACAAAATTTATTTATATATATCCTAATAAAAGTAAAATATATATATATATATATTATAAAAAATATATTAATTTATTTATATATTTAAAAATAAAATATTAGAAATGCTAATTGTTAAAATTAAGACAAATAAAAATTATGTGTATGTTAAATTATAAATAATATCACTTGAAAAATTTATTTTTAACAATATTTTACTGAAAAATAATAATAATAAAACTATATATAAATTATTTTTACATTATATTTCATAAAACTAATAGTTAGAACATAAAGATTTTAGTTTAAAATAATTTCCATAAATACAATATTTGAGGAAAATTACTATTTATTAATTTATGATATGATTTTATATATGCATAATAATGAGAATAATAATATTATTAAAATTTAAATAATATTAAATATACATTGTATATTATACAACAAATTTTAATTAACATCACATCTATTTTAATGGTAATAAAAGTATTTATTTATATATTTGGAAATTCTATGAAAATAACATATTATTACATCAATTAAATATATATTTATTCTAAAGTTGTATAATATATCAATTACACAATTATAGTAAAACTAGATTTTTATTAGCAAGTTTTTTTTAATTATTAATTAATTTATTAAAATTACAATTTTTTCATAATTTCCTAAAAATATATTTCATAAGATATGTCAGTTTAGAATAAATATTATAATATATTTCAAAATATTAATTAATAAGTTTATTGCATGTTATAAATTTGATTTCTATTATTATTTATTTTGATAATCAAAGCATTTAGCATAACATTGGGTGGATTTATGGTATGGATTATAGCCACTCTGTATATAATCTATCAGTTTAAGGATATTTGTCGTAAATTATATTTTTCAATGATTTGGTGCGACTATAGTCTAATCAGACAACAAATGGCAAATCATATAACAATTACAAATATCACCAAACAGTTTAACCATATGTTTAAATATATATTGTTTTATTTGTATTATATGTCGACAATCGGATTTGAATTGCTATTAATACTATTACATATTTAACAAAAGTTCAAAACTTTTGACTAGACTTGTATTGTCGATCATATATATTACATCGTTTTTTATATTGTTTTCAATAAATCTGATGAGCACTTGGGTCACCCGTAAGGCCCACAAACCCCTACCCTTACTCTATTCATATGTATTTAAATCTAATCGACTGTCATATCGTCAGCGATGGAAACTATTGGCATTTATTGAGCGCCTGTCGACGGGACCCGTCATTGGTTTCTACTGTTTAGATATATTTCCAATGAATTCCTATGAATTTCTAACATTTGTATTAAACTTTTTATCACTACATTTATTATTACTTCAAAACATTCAATATCTTTTATAATTTATTGATTATTATTATTATTATAAAAATCATATCTGAAATATCTGTATATATTAGATTAGTTTTAAGCTCTCTCTCTAGTAATTTAATTTATAATTGTATTAAATATTTTTTTTAATTAATATGCTTTTAAATGATATATTATTATAAACAAATGGGTTATCGACTAAATTAATTATAAGTTAATATACAATATTAAATCTTATTTGTTTACAAATTGTGATATTAACTGTTATATTAATTAATATGTTTTATCTGTTTTTATATTCTATATGTTTTTATTTATATTGAAAATAATATATAAAAAAAATATATTACAACTTATAATAAGTTTAAATATATATAAAATCATAAAAATAATTAATTATAAAAATGTTTTTAAAAAATATATTTTTATCATTAATCAATTTTAATAATTATACAAATTTGATTAATTGAACTAGACACAGTTAGTTTATAAATAAATAAATGGATAAAAAATAAACAGCAATTAATTAATTAAAAATTAAGACAAAAATTTTAGAAATATAAAAATATTTTATTGTTGAAAATTGTTTTTAATTTATGATTTAACTTTTTTACTTTTTTGCAAAATATATAATATATATATTTATATATATATAATAGTTTTAAATTTTGTATAATACATGCAGTCTATTGTATTATACAAAGTCAAAATTAAAAATCTAGTATTTTTCAAACCCTGATATTATACATTTACAAATAAAAAATAGTAAATCATAAAAATATGATTTTGACAATTATAATAAACTTAAATTTATAACTAAAATATAATATAATTTTATAGAGTCATAACTATTCATATTAAAACTTTCCAAAAAATTATTGTCTAAATATAAATATGATAATAGAATTTACCTATAATTTGACATATAATTATATATTATAAACATTTTGATTTTATATTTTATGAAAATACGTAATAATAATAATATTAATAAATTAGAAAAGTTAATTAAATTATTTGTTTTATTCAGTATAACTTATATATAGTTTTATAGATATGTTGTGGGTTTAGAGTTCAAAAGGTTGTGTTAGTACAAGGAAATAGATTCACTGGGAATTCCCAATCAAAAGGGAACAAAGAAAACTTAGAAATTAAGACGAGGGAAGGAATTTGTTTGAATTATAAAAATACTAAAACATCAATATTTTTGAGTTAGAATTAAACAAACCTATAATAACTTCTAAAGTTATTGAAAGTAAGTATTTATTTGTATGATATATGAGACTATCAATAATTTAATAAATTGATAAATATAATTATTTTACTTTATTATCATTGTTTTTTATAAAAAAAATGTTTATTTAAAAAATATATTTATTAATAATAGTTTTAGAAATAATATTTTCCATTATTGTAAGCTTTTAATTTAAATTCAATAATTGTTTATTGATTCTATAAATTTTTTTAATATATTTAAACCATTAAATATTTATAATACAATTTTAATAGTTTTAAGTTAAGAGTTTAAATGTCTATACTTATGATAAGTTGATTATTATTTTCATATAGCGTTGCACTTATATGTACTCAAAAAGTTAATGTTTATGTTTGCGCATCACATGCGCAACACTTAACCGAATTAGTGAATAGACTAAATATTATAAAAAAAAAATATTAAGAAAACCAATTTCACGAAAGATTTTTTCTGAATATTACCGAAATTTGTTTGTATCACTCATTGAATCATTTGCTTCAATCTTAAAAGATTCAGTAACTAATCAATATAAACAAATTGATGTTTGGTTTTAATTCAGATCCAAATATACATTGTTCCAGTAATCATGAGCAATTGCGTAAATATATAGTACCAAAAAATAATATATTTAAAAGAACATTAATTCAACATTAATCCAAATGATTCTATTTAATATATTTCTCTTTTTAAAATTTATCTTATTTTATTTATAATATTAATAAACATAATTAGAGATAAAT